TTAGTTTCTCTGGTCTGCATTGAACCACATTATTTATCAGAATGTTTCTGAGATGGCTCTGTGCTGACTCAGACTGGGACAGGCCAGGCTTCCATGAATGCCACACAATATGTGGAGGTCTCAGGGCTGGTAAAGACCCTTGAGGCCTACCAGTGCCCTCATGGCTCTGGAATTAGTATCTCTGTGGCCTTGTACTTCCCAAGATCACAATTTGGAGCTTTATCACAGCTCCATCTGCCCTTCTGCTGCTGGACAGCTCTGCTTGCATCCTGCATTGCCTGCACTATCCCACTGTGTCTGACTTGTGGACGGTGGCAGCTCTTCTTCACAGGGCAAAGAGAACTTGGCATGGGAGCTGCAGAATGGTGTCAGGTGAAGGGGGCAGCTGGTCTGCCTTGTTCAGGCCAGGGATAACTTTGAAAACTGATAAAATTTTGCACCTGGATCAGGTTGGTCCTCCAGTGGTGTTGATGTGGTTCTGTCCCACTGTGCAGTCATGTTGGATACTCTCAAGGACAGTGGCTCCACAATCCCTCTGGGCACCTGTGCTTTGTCTGAACAGCCTCATGGGTGACAGTCTTCCTGTCTAGCTGGGATTTCTCCTGAGTCTGGTGCCACTCATCCTTCTGCCATGGAATACCTCTGAGAGGTGTCAATCATCTTCTCTACAGCCTTTCAGGAGGCAGCTGAAGTCACCTGTCAGGCGAGCCTTCATTTTCAAGAGGAGCATAACTTTCTAGGAGGGATTAGAGAAACACAAGAACAATACCTCGTTGTTTCACGTTGTGAGCTCTTGGGAGATTATCTTGTTTCTAAGTGTATGTTTGTGTACTCCCTGAGTTTCTACATGACCCCAGTTCTCATTTGGTTTTCTGTTACTATCATAATAATGTTGAAAGGTGACCTGCAAAAGAAAAGAGGGCTTTTGCTCCCTTGTTCCCTTTTAAATCTGTAAATGTAGAGAAATCCCCAAACTGTGGTTTTGTGGGTAGAATTTTTATTGGCTTGATTTTTTGGTGTTTCTTTTCTGCATGTGATACATGCATTTTTAACTTCTCTGCTTTAGAAGGTTGTGTGAGTAATGGCAGGCAGCTTAGTAGGATTCAGGTGCCTAGGAAACCAGAAAGCAAGAAGACAGTTGAAGGGATAATTGACTTTTGGTTTTAAAGGTGCCGGCTTTTGTTTAGCACACCTTCTTTTATGAACTTGATCATTGAGCATAATTCTCTCTCTTGTACCTCCAGCATGACTTGAGAATGCTTTCAACTAATATTTTTCAGAGGACAAATAAAACTGTCAGTAAAAATGGGCTTCCTCTTGCTGATAGTTAAATATATAAATAAGCATGAGAAGGAACAGTCTATTCAAGATGTTCTTCATGCATTTTAAACTAGCAAAGAAAGCCAACCAAAAAGGGTCAAATGCAATTTTTTTTCCTTTTCAGGTCACCTTTGAGGGCAGTATAAACCAAGACAAGGAATTTCCATTCTTTTAGGAAGCAAGTAGAGAGGTGGTGGAATTTACAAAGCTCAGGTGTGTGATGGGATTGTGTCAGGTTGTGGAAATTCTCCTTTCATTTGGCACTCACGTGGTCCTTATAAGCTGACTGCTTTAGCAGCTGTAGTTTATCTGCTGTATCTCGACACAAATATATCCTTCCTAAGCTGTATATCTATTTTGAGAAAATATTGGCTAGCACCATTAGGAAATGCTGAGCTACTTACTTTTTCCTCTTCGATAAAGTGAATGATCAACAGGAGACCATGCTGAGATAAATACATGCTTCCAGTATTTTAAGAAATTAGTTTTTTTAAATGGTGCTTCTTTCATGTGGAATTGATTGGTGTTTGTTTTCAAGACATGAATCCCAGTCAATGGCTACTGTGTTATGTCAGTTAATACCATAGGAAGCATTATTCATTTGATAGAGCAAAGAGATTTTGCTGAGATTAAAGAGGAATAAATGGAAGTTAATCTAGCATTTGACCTTCCAGTTTACCTGACAAAATTAAAAGAGGGACCACAGTGGTCTCTGCAGCTGATCATGGAAAGTGGAGAGGGAGGTGCTGAGTTCTCCTCCCTGGTATCCATGGAAAGGATGCATGGGAATGGTTCAAAACTGGATCGTGGGGGGTTCAGACATTGGGAAGCATTTCTTTACCAAGAGGGTTGTCAAACACTGGAACAGACTTCCTAGAGTAATTGATGTCCCAAGCCTGTCAGTCTTAAGAGATGTTTGGATAATGCCCTTAACATGAAGTGGTCAGGCAGTGGAGCTAGATGGTCGCTGTAGGTTCCCTTCCAGCTGAACTACTTGTTCTGTTCTAGCATAATCATAGAATTCAGATTACCTGCAGTAATCGGGTTCAGTTGATCAGGTTTGGGGTTTTCTTCCCTTAAAAGAAGAAAAGCAGCCTAGACACTGTCTTCCTGTCATAACACAGTCCTAAAGCAATTAATCCCTTTCCTCCTCCTTGTTCTGCACTGATATTTCTGAGTCCAATCAGGATACAGAGATTATGGGGGGGTATGGTTGAAATGAGTCTGGTCATCTTGGTCCTACACTGTGAGATCCATGGTTAAGTTTCTTTGGTGAGTCCAGATCCTGAAATTATGTATGGTCATTTAGCCAGAGCACAGGATAGGCAGAGATACAGTCTTAGGTGCTGAGAGAAGAGCAAGGCTACTCTGGTTTTATTCAGCTTCCTAGTGAGATTTCCAAATTCATTGCTTTCACTTCCCTCTAATTGAGTCAGCAAGCAGTATGTAGCCAAGCCCAAACCTATTTTAGGCTTTAGCTGGAATGCTTTGATTTTTTTCAGCTGAGAGGGACATTTGGAAGGCTGGTGTGGTACGCAGTGTGAAGAAGCCCTCTGACATTATCTGAGGCAAAGTGTTAAAATTCAGCCTGATTTTCACAGAAATTGCACAAAATATCTGACTCTGAAATTGCAGTTGGTTCATAAATCTGCATGAAAACTTCCAGGTCTGGGAGCTCTGGGCCAATAATACTGCCAGTCCATGCCCTACCTCTGCCATGTATTTATGATCTGTGTGGTGGCACATCACACACTTAATGTGTAGTGCAGGATGGGGGTAAAACAGCAGCTCGCTGTTGCTTCTGAAGAGAGGTGACTTTAATGCTTGCTGTGCTTTATCTTGTGGAGCCGTCTGCCTCTGCCTGCTTAGGTACAGAGAGTGATGATGGCTTCCTAAGCTGTAGTCTCAGTTAATGGTCTGCACAAGTAGTTCCTGGAGTCTTTTTAAGTATTTTTTAACCATTATTTGAAGTATTTGCACTTGCAAATAATCAGTTTGAAACTTACTCTTATTTGAGCTTTAATGTACCTTAAAGACCACATGCCAAGAAAAGGGACTATCAGCTGTTTTTTCATTGGAATTATTACAGTTCAGGTTGTTCAGTGCTTGTTCCAGTACATGGTACTAACAGGAGTTTTTGGCATGTATTATAGATGCTTTTTACATGAAGCTAAACTTTTCTTTTAATGCATTAATTATATTTGTCTTTGAGGGGCTTTTCTTTAGCCAAAATAAATATTGAATAGAAAGACATTTTCATAGCTAGGTATTTGAAGACTAAAAAATTTATCTGCCCTGGAGCTATGAAAGTAACAGACTTATATAATTTCAGTTAAAAAAAGAAAAAAGGCAAATGTTGATATTTTTTTCTTTCTCAAAAATTTGAGATTTCACAAAGCTGTAATTTTTCATAAGAGAGCAAAATAGAGACAAAGTGAATTACTTGCAAGTCTAAGGAATGTGTTTATATGAGCTGTAATGTTTTATTTCCATTCTGGTAGAGATTTCTACCAGATTAGGGATTACAAGAATTGATTTCTTGGCAGCCTCACCTAAGGGAGTCTTGCAAGTCTCTTGCAAATAAAATCACCTTCAGAGTCATTGTTCCATTTCTCTTTCTTCCTCTTGTGAGATTTATTTACCTTAAGGGTCGTAAGCTGACAGACTTTTGATCTGTATGCATCTGTGATAAATTTTTGCCTTGGTTTAGAACATAGTAAATAAATACCAGTATTACTAGACAACAAATAATTTTGCACATTTATTCAGCCATAGTAGCATAGTGGTGGTGTAACAATAAGTAGTCATTGAAAGGTTATCCTTTTTCTGAAAACATTAATTATTTAATAGCAAGAAGGAAGAGGGTTTTATTCCTGAGATTTTGTTTCACAGTACCTAGTTTATAATTTTAAAATAGATTTAAAGATAGAAAACCACTTATTTCAAAGAAATCCAAAACTCTCTTACCACTTTGTATGACAGAAGCGTTTACATGGAGGTGATTCAAATAAGATTTCAGCCTTCTGTAGGACATTGAGCAGAGACTCTAAAAGATTTAAGCTAAATTTACACTAGCTTGTGTTTATTGCTGCCTTTCTGTAGGTGCAACTTACAGTGACAAGAGGGTGTGTAAACTTTGCTGGGAATCATGTTTTTGTCATCGTTGTTGCACTATTCCAGATCTGCTGAGTTAATTTAAAAAGGAAGGGGTGGGATATACATCAGTGTTTCCCAAATGCTTTTAGTGGGGTTAAGTCTCTTTCCTTACCTTGAAAAAACTTGTCTATGGGGCAGTGGAAGGCAGGATAGTACAGGCTCTGAAGGGTCTCCATCAAACAGAGGTTCAAAGGAGGCTGAAACTCAGGGGTTTGGGGCGAAAGGGCGCCTTCCTTACACACCACTGCTTTGTGGCCTTGCATTTTGAAGCTCCTTCTCTGGAAGAGTGGCTTCCCTGGCAGTACTGATGAGAATTTAAAAATCAAGCTTTCTCATGTGGAAGAAGGGAAGTTATTAAACGTGCCAATAAGCACTTTCACCAATATGCAGAAGTTTAGAAAATAAATATGGCAATATTTTCTTATAAGAGATTTTTATCTGTTAAATTTTATTGTAATCAGTTTATGGAGTCAAAAAAATCTTGAAATGGAACTGCTCCTAAGTGTGGATTTTCTTTTTTTTAGCACTGGTTGGACCATTCAAAATTCATTAAGAAGCAAATAAAAAGTAAGTACTGTGTCTCTGCCTGTTTATTTTGTTACTTCCTAAAGAATTTGAATTTAGTGTATTAGAACCTGATAGAGAATGTTTAAATATGGCCTTTAATGGAATAAATATTCCTTAGAAAATAGTTTTAATTTAATGGGTAATTGGCTGACTATATTATGTCTAAAGGCAGGAGCACTTATTAAGCAGTAGCCCAGCCTTCAGAAGCCCTTTGTTAAACCTTTGCTGTTTGTCTAAGGCAGAGTAGGTTGCCAGGTAATTTCAGTCTGATCTGTGAAATTGGGTTGCCTGGACACAGATCGCGGTTCCTGTCACTGCTTCTGATCCACAACAGATATCCTGCAATTTCTTTCAGAGCGTGAATGGAAAATACTTCATTGTGTAATTATTAACTTTTTTTTTTTTTTTTTTTTTTTTTTTTTTTTTTTTTTTTAGATTATTATTATTTTAGGAGTTAAATTAGCAGAAATAGCTGCTGTTTTGTCAAATGTAGTTTTGAAATAGCTGCCGTTTCATCAAAGGTAGTTTTGGATGGAGGGGTTGGTGGATTGTGTTTTCTGTGAAAATTGTCTAGGGCAGGGAAGTAGCTCCTGGATTTTTGATAATCCAGTTGCAGGCTTGAGTACAGTACAGCCATTGGCATTGACATGTTTTGTTATGATGCTGCAGCTGGCAACAGTCATGGGCCATGAAGACATGGCTTCTGTGAGATTAAAATGTGTTTTTCAAGAAAATTGTTGATTGCCTTGGAGGACTTCACAGAGATAGATCTTGATTGCTTCAGTGGTGCTTTGCCTTTCATTTTGATGAGTACCCAAGTATCTAGATGATTTTTGTTACCAGTGGAGTTCTTCAAAGGCCTTTAGGATAGTTTCTGTCATGCCATGGTGTGTGGGTATCACATGCTAGAATCCAGGTGAAGATAGCTGCTGTGGGTAAGGTTTTTGCTGTTTGGTTTTCTCTTCCCTTTTCATCACACCACAGACTGCTTTACCTTAGGTGACTAGCTGATTTGCAGCCTTACTCTAATAGCCTTGTCCTGGAAAATCGGTGATTCTGCAACACCTTCAGCCAATTTAGTTGCATGTTTTTGTCTGTTTTTAATGAGTGAAGGGCCTGTTTTAAAAATAATTTGGCCAGTCCTGGCTCTGAGAGGAGAAGCAGTTTGTTGGGTGTTGTAAAGGTCTGTCTCACAACAGGTTACTTTCCTTTGCCTTCAATTCAGCAGATGCTTTGTGAAGAGTTCCTCTTCCATGATGGATGTTGCTCACTGCTGTCTTTTCCGAGTCATTATCTCACCTTTGCAGACCTCACCAGTGGTGCCGAGCTGTGAGCTCAGGGTGCTATAACCTGACTTACAGGAGCTACAATGGAGATGGAATCAAAGCTCTAATTATTTGACTTTTAGCTGCATATCATTTAGTAGAGGGATCATTAATAGGCATATGTTTGCTTGTTGATGTGGTGTTACAGAAGACCCTAGAAAAGTGAGGAAAATTAATTTTTCCATCAATTAATACATCAGCAGGCAGCTGGTCTGAAGATGAGGATTAGGCAGATAGCGATGCATTGGTCACAGTTTCATGGTAGCTGGATAACTTCCTATTATCTATGTTACATGGGAAGTCCAATGTAGCATTCACCTTCTGACTTTAGGAAACACAATTCTTGAAACCCCATGGAATTTTTTAGCTTTCTGTATTCATGGGTGCCTTCCAGAGTTCTCTCTACCAGTTTTCTATTTATCTTACCTTTTCAAATTACTTTGCTGAAAATTGAATTGAAAGCTGATCTATTGGGTAGGTGTTTTTTTTGGAGTAGTGTTTGTGCCTGGTAAGAAGGAGCATCACCCTCTCCTTCCCTCTTCCTTCCATTTCCCCCTGGGTCCAGCAATAGGGAGTATACCTAGAATTGGCTGTCATTCACAGTGTGCTCTGAGGCACCCCTCTTTGGACAAAAAATGTGTTTGCCAAATGGACTATTGTCTTGATAAATTTGAATTCTTGAGTATCAAAAAGTATGGTAATCATCTATATTTTTTTGTTTATTGCATGCATTTTTAAATTTAAAAAAAAACATTAAATATTTTCTCTGACGAATCTGAAAAATGTAATTAATTTTGGGTTTCTTGGGTTGTGGGGTGGTGTGGCGACTGTTTTGCCTTGGCAAGACTGCAAGGAGTATAAACCTTTTTTCCCCATTTAAAATCTCTGCATGTGCAGTTGGACCTCCGTACACGTTGCATTTTCGAATTAAGTACTACTCGTCAGAACCGAACAACCTTCACGAAGAGTTTACAAGGTAGGAGCTGTGTGTGGCTGACGGGATTTAACACATAAGGGTGCTCATTTTGTCTGCCTTCTTAGGTGTTTTCCCGCTGTCAGAGAAACATCATGCTTTTTATTTGCTGCCAGAAAGCATTCATGGACCTCTCCAAGCGTGTTGGTGTGCAGGAGATGTTGTGTTCTGGTGCTCTGAAGTAGGCAAAGAAAGGCAGAGTGGGGTGGGGAAAGCTGCAGCTGGGAGACACCTGCTCGTGATAGCTGCCATCCTCTGAGAGGGGTTTCCATTATGTCCTGCTAAAATGCCAGTGCCCTGCTTTGTTCCTCCTGCTCTGAGACTTGGGGGTGATTTAATAATGATACCAAGGGTAGAGAATTGTGGGAATAGCCAGCTTGAGCTCTGGGATGAGAGTTGATTGAATCACTTCTGCTTCCTGTGGTTCTCTGTGAAGCAAAAGCCGGCATTGTATAAAGTCACTCTACAAATATCTGAAAGTCTTTCATTTCAGTCTGCTGGGCTCTTTCTGTGGACCTGTACCTTGTTGGATCCATAGCACCTTGGTTCAGAGGATATTCTGAAAGCTGGGAAAGGAGCAGCTGTAGGAAAGGGTTTACTTATCTTTTGTATCTGCTTACTTTGTGTCTTTTCTGTGTAGTAGTCATCTATCTTAATGTTATTTTATCTTTTCTTTTGTTCTGCCTCTCACCGTAGGGCTCTTTCTGTGTCTTCTAATTTGCTTGGCAATAATCAGTGTACTCCTAATCAGCCTAAGGTGTTTAAAGATGGTTGATTGTTGTAGTTCATGTGCATGTGATGTTTACATTAAACTTACGCCTGCAGGCAGATGATTCCTGTCTCCCTCGCTGTCTGCTGTGCCGACCATGGTTTTTTTTCACTGCCTGAGACGAGATTAAAGGGCTAATTGTCACCACCTCATGATAGAGACATGGGTCTTCAATATCTGTTATCAATTTAGTACAGCAGTGATAATTCAATAAAAAGGCATATTCCTATAGAATGTATAATTAACTTATAGAAATCCCTGCTACTTATGTAGCTAAGTATGAGATCTTAAGAGAATCCAAAAATCTGGATGATTTATGGACATCTCTAATGAGAAAATGCAGTTAAATTAGTGGGAATAATATGTGTTTTCTGGAAATTGATGCAAGTCTTCATACATCAGGGTGCATGTCTGATAAGTATTACATTTCCCCTGTGGTCAAATTATGGCATTACTGTCTACCACAAGATTTCTTGCTTAATGCTCTGAAGCATATGATCCTAGTCACAGTGAAATTGGGTTTCTGAGCTATGTGATCATTGCTGTGATCAAGTAAGACATTTTGTCTGAAAGTATTAAACTCTGATGCCTTGTGATCTAATTATTGTTGAAAGGTGACATTTCAGAAGACTATTTTAATTAGAAAAACACTTTAGTCAGCTAAATATTCAGTGTTGTGAACAATTTCTTTTAATTATAAGCTTGACAGGAGACCACTGTGAAACTGTGTAAGAAAAATTGGGGCGCCTTTTTTTTGGGGGGGTTGGGGGGAAGTAATTTTGAATTTAAGAATTTTATAGTTCGTAAATTTTTAATTCTTTGATTTATGGAGATTTTTTAAAGAGTATTTATGCTAGTTGGATCATATTTTCCATGTAGCATGTTGAGTAAAAAGTGAAGATTAATAACTGTATACTTAAAATCATTCCAAGTAGAAGAAAAATCATCCGTAACAGCAACTGTGAACTTTCCAGGTAGGAGGTGTTCAAAATTCCTTCAGGAGATCTGCTTTCTAGTAGACTTCAATAACTAGTGAAGCTACAAACATCATATTCTCATAATTAACCCATTATTGGGAAGCATTAACACCCTTCACCTGCTCTTTTTTTTTGGTTTAATAACACAGTAGAAATACAGTTCATTTTGGAAGACATCATCTGTCACTTGTGTGCGACCTGATCAGTTAGTTTAGTTAGAAGAAAAACAGAGGAACGTGCTGTACTTTGTGTTGTGGAGAATTTTCCAAGTTGTCTTGCTGATTTGGAGTAGCAACAATTGAGATGCCAGTGTTTGTCAGCCTGTGCACAGAAAAGGAAGAAGGGTAAGCCATACCCACCACAGCGGGGCTGCAGCACTGCACAAGCCCCCTGAAACTGATAGGTGCACTGCCCAGAGTCTTCTTGCAAGTTTAGAAGAGTTCATGGGATTGTGAATCATCTGGGCTATCAATAAGAACAGGATGTGTACTTGTCTACCCTTAATCTACACATGCAAATACCCAGATTTGATTGGCAGTCAGGTATTAGCCAAGTATGTGAATCAGGGATGTACCAAAGCGCTAACATGGATAAATGTGATTCTGCTCTAGTGTTATCATGAGAAATCTTAATCTTGCTTTCCATTTCTGTTTCCTTGTCTGATTCCAACCATTTGTCCTTCACCACGTTCACTGCACATCCTCTGTGATGAAAAAAAACCCACTTTACCCATCCTTTGTAAAGCCAGGAGAGGTCTGTGTTTGCATTTACTGGGCTCTCAGGAGTGCTTCATGCTTTCTTCTCTTGAGTCACTCATCTTTGCAAGCCTCACCCCACAGTGTCCAGAGCAGTGCAGAGCCTGCCTCTGCCTTCCTGTCCTCTGCACACCCCTTGCATGACCCAGGGCACTTGTGCATGCCTCAGAGCCCAGCTCTGAGTGGTGTCAGTGAAGCATGCCTACAACTGAAGATTAGCAAAGCAACAGCTTAAAATACTACAGCAGTGTGAAGGCTGTAAATTCCTACTTGGAGTATTAAATAACTGTGTGAGCTCTATGGAATTCTTCTATTCAGAACTTTGCTATTTTTAAGTGACATTTTGGTATGAAGCTTTCCTTTTGCCCAATTTGGACTTTTTCCATGTTCTGTATTTGTGTTTGAGAAGGCAGCCCTGAAGCCTACATGCCTTTATCTGTGTTTTGTTTCTAGATACTGTAGTTCAATTCCTGCCTGAATTAGGTAAGACCCAAGTTTAGGAGAACACTGGAGTGTTACTAACATTTAGGTTGCTGTGGTGTATGCTCAGACAGAGCACGTCCTAAACAGCAAGACTTTGGACAATGTCCTGAACACAACCAGTCGACAAAAAATGTTCTTCTCTTTGATTTTAGTGAAAACTGTGGGAGCTTTGAAGCTTGTAGGGTGTATCCGTGTGATCGCAAAGGGCCTTTTTTGGTAAAGAGCAAGTTATACAAATTGCAGTTACTACTTAATGAATTGGGATATTCTTCCAGCCAGTGGAACTAGAAGGATGCCACTGTAATTACTTTTGACTTTCTGAATTTTTTATTTGTCAGGTACCTGTTTGTACTACAGCTCCGGCAAGACATTCTTTCAGGGAAGTAAGTACCTTTTTACACTTGCAGCTGTAATTTGAAGAATTGATAATATTTAACATCCTAGCGCATTTTGTTTTTCATTAGAATACAGACATATAGGACTTTATGTGTATCATGACTATATTACTGACAAACAGAATGGGTAATAATTTTGATGGATTGATGAGGTAACAGAAATGTTTAAAGAGAGTGAAAACTGTTCTGGGTTTTTGACTTGAAAATGTAACATGGGCCTGCTGCATTTTTTCAGTATGGTGGGTGAAATAGAGGATGAGAAAGTTGAAGTGCAACACTTTTTGTTCAGGTCAACTCTGAAAAAATACTTTGTGTTTTTATAGTCTTACCCTGACCAATATTCATTTACACCTGCACCTTTTTTTTTTTAAATTACAGGAAAAAAAAAACTCAAACCCATATATTCTAAAATACAGCGTTAAAGCAAAAATAGTTCCTTAGTTGATTTAGTGTTTTCTCTGTTAGTTCAAACTTGTTTTATGGTGAAGTGTATCATGTTTAATGCTAATCAGAATGTACCAACTTAGATACATTTGTATCAAATAAACATATACAAGTAACAATTAATTGTAGATGTTTCATAGCATTAGTAGTTTGTGGAAGTTAATGTTTCCAGTTTTTGTATCAGGCTTCTTTTTTAGCTTTATTGCAAGAGAAATTCACTGACAAGAGAATGGTTTTTATAGTTTTGTTTTTTTGTTTTGTTTTTAAGATTGAAATGCCCATACGAAACTGCTGTTGAACTAGCAGCTCTGTGTCTTCAAGGTATGCTGTCTTTTGAAAGTGGTTTGTCCTAATTTATTAGAAAACTCACTCACTGGTTTCTTTTCCTCTGGTACTAATGCATTCTCACTGATCAGATATAAATGCCATTATTTTACCTCAGGAGAAGAATTTTAGGGAGATCACTTTCCTGATGTACCTCTGTTCGTAACTTCTGAACTACGTTAGCCAATATCAGCACACCTGATCTGGGGGGGAAGACTCTAAAGCATGGCTAGACAAAAGTTTGATGGAAACCCAGGGCTGAACAGGGAAGAAGGACCCAAAATAGCTCCCAACTGCGGGAAAAGCTGTGGTGCATGTACAAGTGTTACCACTTGAGCCTGAAGAGCCAGCTGGCCCTTCACACAGTTAGTTGGAGGTGGGTGCCTGTGAATTTGGGCTTCCTGCTGCCTGAACAGTGCCTGGGAGAGGAAGCCTCCACAGTGGGTGACTCAGGAGATGGTTACAGGGCAGGAGGGAGGGAGTGGCAGGTACTGGAGAGGAGAGAATTACATGGGAGGGTAAGAACTAAGGTCACTTCTGTGGCAGGAGCACGGATTTCGTTATGTAAAAGCAATTCCAGTACACTGGGTTTCATTACATTATTGTAGGACAATGTGGTTTTTTTGTTGCTGCAAGCATGTTAATTTGTTAATAAATAAATATTTGTTCCATTTCAAGTAATTTGTTTTGCAGATGGGGAGGAAATTATTGTAATGAAGCTTAAATCAAATTCATTTTTTTGTAAAAGAAAGTGCAGTGAGCTTGACCATTTTAAGCATATCAGCAGCAATAAATTCTCTTCATGTCTCATTGGTGGTTGGGCCATGGCACACAGAGAGCTTGAGCAGAGTTGCTTATTTTAATACAACAGTGGAAGTAACTCAGTGGTTCTTGATGGACTTGACAGGCAAAACTGGGAATTCAGTTCCAAGTAGCAGCAGGTGTAAATCTTAAGGCAGTGGATTGTTTTACTGCACCAGTTGCCACAACTGTGATTGTCAGGTGTGCAAAGAACTGCTCAAGGCAGACTCTTTTTGTCTTGTTGAGGTGAAGGAAATGTGGAGCCCAGATTTGATTTGTTGCTTAACGTTTCCACAGATAAAAACTCCAGTAGCCTCACCTCTGGTCCAAGCAAAGAGCACCAAGCAAACAATAATAGGTTGATGCCTCAACATTTTGGGTAGCAGCTGACACCTGTGATTACTGTGTAAATGCAATACAATAGCTGTCCATCATGTTTATGATGTGCCCAGCTATCTACCAAAACTAATACTCTTTGATGTTGTCTGTGGGAATACACTTTTACAATTTTTTGCTGTCTTGTTTTTCAGTTTCAGTTTTCCACTATTTTGACATCATCGCAATAAATTTGTCCAAAATTATTTCATTATTGCAACTCGTGCATTGTCTTTGCTGACATACATAATAATAAACATTTTTGGTGTAAAGTTTGCTACATTTGGACACTAGAAACATAATTAAGCAGAAAAGTATAAACAAATGTTGATTATTCCCTCCTCAGTGGTTACATTTTCCTTGTAAAATGGAGTCTTGCTCCTTAGTGTGCTTTTTCCTAAGAGTGAGGAAAAAGTTATGAATTGCTATTCAGGCATTGGTAGTCTGAGCCCTCTGAAAAAAAAGTCTTTTTACAAAGACTTTACATAAGCTTTACATTTCATACATGCCTCTCTTTTATTTAGGGAGTTTTCTGTTAAAGTAGTTCTTGGTTTCCAATAGCAGTTTCCAAGTTTCGGGGTTTTTTTGGGGTTGGATTTTTTTGTTGTTTTTGTTTTTTGGTGAATCATCTTTCAAACATAAATTGTTGATTTGTTGCCAATCCCATGAAAGAAATTCTGTAACAAGTAACATTGGTTTGTAGTATGGGGTAACATATGAAGCAGGTAGGTAATATTATGCTTCACTTAGGGATTATCTGTGGAAATGTTGTCATCAAACTTGAGTTCTCACTGTTACAGTTAGTTTTTAACTGCATCATTAGTATTGTATGGTCTTAGTGTTTAACCAGATATACTTTTGAAGCTGCTAATTATATTGAAAAGGAGAACATTTTCTCACATCTCCAATTTTCAGTTCTAATCATAAGACCTCTTCATGGAATACTGCAAACTTTTTTTCCCTCTGTATAATAGAATCAGCTATATATTTAAAAATAAATATACTTTTTGAGTTTTCAAAAACTTTATGGGAAACATCCTTTCGAAAATGTCCCCCAGGTTATTTTTTGAAGAACAGAGATAATGTATATGCATGCGTTATGTAACGTCTGCCCCACCTTCCACCCACCCCCCCAAAAAAGGGCCAAGAAGGGGCATGCCAAAGCATGTTTTGAAGACAAAAAGGAAGAGATGGGTCTTCTGCTATGCCCTTGCATCTCAAAATATTAGTGCTGCTGAGCCTCTCTGTGTGTCTTCTGTCCTGCAAGCTTATGATTCTTCTCATCCTTACACATCCTTTTTACAGCACAGTCAGCCTTTGTTCCCACCTTCTCTCTCACTTAAGCAGTAGAGAAATCTCCCATGTTTTTCCTAGATGGTTGGCAACACATCAAACTTCAGATCCTTACCTTTTTCTCTCCCCTTGAAGTCCTCCTTGCTAATGTGTTTTTGCTGTAGCTCCCTCTTGTATACTGGAGACTGGAGTGCCAGTAATTCTTAATATCTGTGTTAAATAGGCTTCCAGCTTTGATGAAACAGCCACGAAGCTGAGATATCTGTATGTCCTTTTCTTTAACAGAGATAAGAATACTGTAACTCACTATGGAAGATTACTGTTGAGAGAAAAAAATGTGTGTGAGACAGTAATTAAAAATGAAGACCAATGAACTCAATCTCTTTATTATGCTCAGGACTGCTAAATGTTTCAGCAAAGCTCAAGTTCTCAAAACTACCCAGTAGGTGTTATCAGCCAACAGATTGGATTTTGAATGTATCTTCCTATCTACTGATGGATCCTGTTAAGTATTTTTGAAGTCTGGCTGTGACTGAAATTTTTACAGCTGTTAAGTGTAAAAGCGCCTTGAAGGAAAAAAACTGTTTTCTTCAAGGGATTTCATTTCCCTCTATGCTTTTTCATTTTTATTTTTATTTTGGTAGTAGTAGGAAGAGTAGTAAACAGTTAAGGAACGCTGACTGACAAAGGCCTGGTTGGGAATCCCATCGTTTGTCAGGTGACACATGGTATTGCTGAAGAGTGTATTTTTCCACCGATGCTTGCCACACAGTCCTGAGGCAGCGATGCTGCAGCCTCTGAGTACAGCTGAGAGGCTCCAGGGGCAAAGCTGTCACAGACACAAGGCAGTTAAGGGTGACAGTCACTGAAAACCTCAGCACTTGCATCTCCTGCTGAGCTCAGTGGAGTTGGAAAGTATTCTGCTCCTAGAAAACACCAGAGCCTAAGCGTGTAAGTAGAAAGTGACACCTTAATTATGTCAATGTTTCAGCATTTTTTCCCTTAAAACTATTAATCTGAATATTACACCACCACTGTGATTAAAAAACCACACAGCTTTATCATTGGTTTAATGAGACTAGGTATTCCCTTCATGTTTTGACATGAACAGAAACATAACTCCTAAATTTGTCCTAAACTGGGACAAATAACAAAGTGTGCGATAGAATGGGAATGGTTAGGGAAAAGTGTGCAATGAGAGGAAGTTTCAAAGTCACCTCTTTTAAAACAGAAGATGCATTGATGATTGTTTTTAATAGAAACTTTATTTCCTATAAGTGCTTTAAAATCCTGAGAAGCAGCTTTAGTTGTGTTGGTTCAGTCATAACATTCCTGAATGTCAGAATTCTGTACCACAACCTTAATCTGCTCCTGCAAATGCATTTATCTGACTTCTGCTGTGAAATCTGGCTTGAATTTACTGGGGCTGGGAGTGGGAGGATGGGGTGTTAAAGCATTCTGCAACATGCTTAGGAGCTTGCAAACTATCCTTGTCTTTTTGGGGATAATGGAATTAAATATTTCTGGTCATCTCAAGATCTTTATATTTTTCATTTCTCAATTGATTGATTTCAGCTGAGTTGGGAGAGTGTGAGCACCCTGAGCACACACCAGAGCTCGTGTCTGAATTCAGATTTGCACCAAACCAGACTGAAGCAATGGAATTTGACATTTTTCAGAAATGGAAAGAGTGCAGGTAGAGTACCTGTGTGGGAGTGGGGTCTCTAGCAACAGGTTTTCTTCTTCTCCAAAGTCAAATCCTTTCAACAGGCATGAGATGGGGATTATGCTTGTCAGTGGAGAAGTATTGTAAAAAGGCTTTGAGCCCTCTCCTTCCCTAGAAATGGCAGGCAGTAATTTAGGGAAGGTTGGTGGGGTGAGTTTTAATTTTTTAATGGTTTGTCTTTAGATTATTTTGTAACAATTTAAGGAGCGAGGTCTTTTTCCTGTTTCTGTTGGAAATAAATCTCTTTCTCTTTCTCCCCTTCTTTCATTCAAACATAAATTTTATGTTCAGGGTTGTAGCAAACTCATTTTCCTGTATTTTGTTAATAAATATGGTATATTTTAGTGATGCTTTGTTACTAAACAAGCTTTAAAGGTTTGTTTAGTAACCTTTGTTACCTATGCTTTCATCCTTATTGGCAATTTTAGACCTTTTTGCATTTTCAGTCCTCTGTTTTATTTTCATTTGGAGGGAAGAGGGTAAAACATAAGCTAAGCTTGAAATACCATTTAGTGTCATTAAGATTGAGGACTCAAAAAAAAGGGTTAGGGGAATGAATCTGAAAGCATTTAAAGCAGGCAAATTTTTTTTTACCATGAAGTATGAATTTTATGTTCATAGGGGAAAGAGCCCGGCGCAGGCTGAATTGTGCTACTTGAACAAAGCTAAATGGCTAGAAATGTATGGTGTAGATATGCATGTAGTTAAGGTAAGATCCATGTGATGTTTTATTTTATCAGTGTAAGGTCCCTGCCCTGGCGTGGGTCAGTCCCTGAGGAGTGTCCTTGTTATGGTCTGGGCTGTCCCATGGACCGTGGTCCCTCAGAAGTCATTCCCACCTGGAGCACCCCTCCCAAGGGTGCTTCTCTGGGCTCCCACAGCATCCCTTTCCACATGCCTTCTCCTGTGTCCCTCAGTTTCTTCCTGTTGTGTCTCGTTCCCCTGGCAGGAACTGCCTGCTCTTAAACAGGTGAGGTGAGGTGTGGGCTGCCCTGGATGCAGTGTTGGTGTGGGTCCATCTCCATGCTTCTCAGAGCCTCTTTGAGCAGCACATGGCCTCCTCCCACAATGGGTACCCTGCAGCCTCCTATTGCCAAAATATGCCACTTTGCACCCAATACAGATGCATATTCTTCTGCTCTGTAATGGCAACTATATTGTTTAGTTTAAGACATATGGATTTTGCAATACTACTGTATTAAAATTTACACCGCTCACGGCAGATTCATTATTTATTCTGTGCTTGCTTGCAGGGAAGAGATGGTTGTGAATATGCTCTTGGACTGACACCAACAGGCATATTGATCTTTGAAGGAGCCAACAAAATAGGCTTATTCTTTTGGTAATCTGCTTTTGTGTTATATTCCTTTTTGTTAAAATGCTGAAATCTTTCTTCTTTGCATAATGGGATCTTGACTGTATTTTGTAATTTATAATTGAATCTACAAAGTTTAAAATCTGAAGGTTAAATCTGAAGGTGGATTGGCCTGGTTAGAAGTACCACTCTTAAATGTGAAATAGTTGTAGAAATAACATTATTTTAATATTATTTTAATTCTGTTCTTTTTCGATTCTTGTGTTTAGGCCTAAAATCACAAAAATGGACTTCAAAAAGAGCAAACTAACGCTTGTGGTTGTAGAAGATGATGAACAGGTAACTTCCTTCCCTTACTTGAGCCTGATCCAACAAAGTGTGGTGTGTGCTCAGGCTGGAGAGAACACAAGGGAGGCTCAGCACACTGTTGGCCCAGGCTGTGTTTCTCCTACCAAGGACAATAACTAATATCATGCATGCCAACTTCCAAAGCTTTTGTTTCTGCATTTAGGGCAGAGAGCAAGAGCACACATTTGTTTTCCGGTTAGACAGTGCCAAAACGTGCAAACATTTGTGGAAGTGTGCGGTGGAGCACCACGCTTTCTTCAGATTGCGAGCCCCAGCAAATAGTAAATCTAGTAGATCCGACTTCATAAGGCTGGGATCACGCTTCAGATTCAGGTATTTAGTGAAGTAACAGCAATATATTTATCTTTATACAAAGGAGCAGGTACAGCTTCCAGCAGAAGGCAGCAGTTTACTTTGTTTATTTCTGTGTTTCAAGTGGGAGGACAGAATATCAAGCAACACACGGGACGAGATTACGCAGAACTAGTACATTTGAAAGAAGGCCCAGCAAGAGATACCCTTCTCGGAGGCATTCCACTTATAAGGGTAAGTGTTTTTAGACATCTGTGCACTGAGCCGCTCATGCAGGTGTCCCTTTAAATCCTATAAATGTCACATTACAATCTGTAATGACATCTGTACCACATTATAAAAAGAAGAGTATATCAGATCACCTAAAAAATCACAACGTGCATGGAGGTTTTTTTTTTGCCACAGCTCGTTGTTTCCCTCTTCTGTTTTTAATCTCTATCTACAATTAATTCTTCCGCCCCCATCTATGGAGGAGGTACCTGTGGTTTCTTTTGTTGCTCTATTGAGGAGGAAAGAAAAGTTGCAGAAAACCCATTAAGGCAAAGCATGTAATGTTTTTTTTTAAGAATTGCTTGTGTCATGTGGGGTGGAACAGTGTCCAAAAGCCTCACTTATTTGTTTATCTGGACAGACAATTTTAGGGTTATTGGGTAGTCTCCTTATGCAGTTGTTGTGGCTTTCCTGACTGTTATGACATGTTATTCACCTGTCCAGACTCTGACCTTAACTAGCTTGCCCTGGGAATTGAGATGTGCTGAATTTAAATGGAATGACAAGGAAGTCATTTCCCTTGTGATTTTGTAATTTGTCCTTAAAAACTTGAGCTTTTTGTTCCATGTAGAAAAACCTAGGAAGGAGCACTGCAGGGTAACCCTCTCCAAATTCTGTATTACTTGAACCTGCAGCTGTAGTTGTCGTATGGAGCAAGGCTGCTGAACACAGTAGTGTGAGATGAGATTCCCTTAGAATGTCTTTGCACTCATTTGCATTCCCAGAATATAAACTGCAGTTCCATGAGCAGCCCTTGTGGTACTATGGGGACATTTTTATCTTATTTATAGTTGGGGGAGAAGGGGTAACAAGCATGCATGCTTTCTAGAGGCTGTAACTCTTTCTCCTGCTTCCTTCCTTAATACATGGAAGGAGTTTGTTTAACTGAAATGCAAATTTAATAAATCTGTGAGATGCTGTTATATGAGACCTGAGAGGCAACTATATAGTGTGAGTCATTTTATAAGTGGAAGAATTAATTCTTTAAATTTAATTCTTGCTGTAACATAATCTGAGAGACCTGCAGGTTTTGCCTTGAGTCTCAGTGCTTCTGAACTTATGCCTGTGAGATAGAGGCAGAAAAAAGAATGTATTGCTTATGCTTAATTATGTTCTCTGTCCATTGCAGCCAGTCAGAACTTCTTTCACACCCAAGTGATTGCCTTCTAGAGAGCTCAAGAGCATGTTTGTTAAGTTAATGCAAAAACCTCCCTGTAGGTTGTTGTCTTTCATGCATCTTTTGGCCATCAAGCCCTGTACCTAAATGCAGCCCACAAGGGTTGGATTCTCTCCTAGCTCTGTCACTTTTGAGACTTCTGCAGTGTGTCATTAACTTCCTGCATTCAGCAGTCAGTGGGATTTTCACTTTCTCTCTGAGAAGTTTTTCAGTTCTCTTGAAATACATGCAGTCATGAAAAAGAGATGATATACCCCAGTTACTCAGCTGCCACCTTCACCATTCTTTCCAGCCTGTCCAAAGCAGGGGCCAAGACCTTGTTACTCAAGATTACTCAGCGCCTCCCAGGATTCCCAACTGATGACCTATTTTGGCTACATTGTTCCCTGCAGTAAGACACAGGCCATTACCAGCTTTGTGAATAATCTGGTTTCTGTAAGATAGTGAAAATTTCTGCAAGGGGTAGTTTCTGATTCCCAATGGACTTGATGGTATCGGCATGGTACTACAGTAAGGTGTGGAAAAAAGTGTTCTGGTTGTGCAGAACATACTCTGCCATCCTTCTGCATTTGGGAAGAATATGCTTGCCTGCTGTCATCTCTAAAGAGCTTTCACTCTTGCAGGACCAGAGGGAGATTTGTGTCTGCCTCATACTTTATGATGTTGCACAGGATTACTAGAAAGCACAGGGCTGCACTTGAAATTTAGACACTTCTGTGCAAATATTCTGTATAAGGATTCACTTTAGCCAACAAGAGCTGCAAAATAGCTGATATTTCACTTAAGATTTTTGTGTTTGTTTCTTTTTAAGCAAACAATCCTGTGAAAGCAGCACAACTGTGGTAAGTGACTGCCCAACTTTTTTCTACCTCTCAGTTGCTGTTCTCAGGCTAAAAGGATTCTGAAGACAATACCTGCTTTAAGATTTGTAGAAACAGATTATCTTGTGTGGCATGATTTATTTTGGCCTGTCTCATTATGCATCACCATATTCTTCTTAGGGCCTGTCTACTACCACTGTTTAATCTATTTCTTCTATTATTTTTATATATGGAATCAGACTAAAGTAAAACATACTTCCTTTTTGCTCACTGCTCTTATGATACCTTATCAAGCATAATTTGTTCATGTTTTTTAAATCTAGGCAAAGAAACAAATTTTACACCCCTCTTTCACATGGTAGCTGCTATGGTGTATATCTTGAATAAAATAATGATGGCCTTAAGAATATGAACTTTACTTCTCTGTAGTACTTCCCTGAACTAAAAAACATTGTGATGTAGATGTACTGATTAAATAAAAGGACATTTTTTTTCTCTCTTAGTGCTAAAAATACTCCTGAAGTCCATAACTATCAGGTAAGAGCATACCAATTACAGAGGAAAATGTGGTCATTTCCATATTTTATGGTAAATGTTGCTCTTTATAGTTTGTAGTGGGAGCTGTTTTGTACTGGGAGCTGTTTTGCTCCCCTTTCCTTACTCTCGGGTGAGATTTTCTGATGGGTCAGAAATAAACAGCACCATACTGGGGCTAAGGAGTTTTCTCTTTTTTCCCCCTGTGTTCTTGGATGCTCTGCAAGCTCAGTACACTCCATTTGCCATCTTCTTTCCCTTCCTTTTCTTTCTGTGCAAGTTAAAGCCTTTGAGACTGTGAATGTGATGGGCCCCAGGAGACTGCTCTGTGAGCAAGCTTTTGTCTAGAGCAGCCTCTCACAGTAGGTGATCGTGACAATTTCAAAGTTGCAATTACCTCCCTCATCACAACACTTACAGAGTTCCCTGCTGGTCAAATGCTTGTTGGGGTTTTTTTTTTACACACTCCAGGGAAAACATTACCTGGTTTTCATCTGTGCTGCTGACATGACAGTCAGTAGGTACTGAGAAAAAGCAAGCTTCCAAACTCTGTATGTGCATGAGAACTTAGTCTTAACATTTTTTATTAAAACTCTCACCAGTGATTTTGTTTTCCTGTTTTTCTTCAAGATCTTGTGGATATAAGAAGGAAGTCCTATCACCAAAGACAGGAGACCTCCTGAAGCCTGCTCTTATAACCTTTCTTACACTCCACCTTTGATCAAAGTTGACATTTTTTGATGTGCTTTCTATGAGAAGCACTAGATGTGCCAGGTTGTCTGTCAAACAGGAGAGCAATTTTCTTTGCATTGTCCCATGAGTGTGTCCTAATGAGCAGGCTCAGCACCAAGAGGCTTCACCTATGTGCTCAATAACATGGGAGAAGGTCAGAAGCATTAAGGTTTCTAGGGTTCACTAGGAAAATAAAAGCTAATAGGGAGCTTTAATATGATTTCATTAACCAGGTTCAATGTTTCCATTTGCAGCCCCCCTATCATCCTAATATACATCCTGCTCAGCCACACTGGCATCCACACACACCTGTGAATGTAAGGTAAGCAATCTTCCCTTTGTGAAGAAAAGATGATTACTTCTTTCTTTGTGTTACTTGGTATGAAGCTTTGGTGGCCCTGTTGGGCAGTTCTCTGCACATGAAAAGCAAACAAAAGTTAGAAGTATGGGATATAGAGACAGTATTAAATAACTTCAAAGTTTTGCTTTGGAATATGATTTTTTTTCTAGTTGATTTCTAATTCAAAATTTAAAATAGAATGTTAGTGATCTCCTGTAGGGAGTATGTTGGATAGGGAGCTGCTCTGTAACTTAATTGCAAATCAATCAGTATTGTTTTGTATTTAATTTCCTAAGACAGAGAAGAAACTCATTTTAGTGTAAAGTTAAGTTATTAATAATTATATTCTTGCAGTGGAGCACTATTTTCATCTTTTGCAGAAATGTATATGAAAAAATGACAAGTACTTGGAACAATTTATCAAGAACATTACAGATAATGAGTAAAATTACAGCACTGAGTTTTTGAGAAACGTTTCACAAAAACATTCCTGCACGTGCTGTTGTGCTATCTTCTCCCATACTTTTTTGTTTGTAACTAGTGATGAGAGACATTGAGTGAAAAGAAATTTTGGAAGAAATTCAGTCCAATTAAGACCCACCTGGTGGAATGCACGGTGAAGGCATGCACCTGCTGGTGGATATGTGTCTATACATGTACACATGATAAAAACCAGCCACTTTTTTATCCTAATAAAATGTAACCTTTTTAGATGACTCAGTTTTTTAGACAAATAGCTACTGTCTTCAGTGAAAAATACCAATACCCTAATCTTTGTTTCTCCTTATCTAACATTTGTATTCTTAGATCACGATAGGTAGACTTTGGTTTTAGTGTGGGCAGGCTCTGGGGATGAGGCTGAGTTTAAAATGGATGAAAAGACAATTTGGTGTGAGTTTGAGTCTGAGAATGCAGGAAAAGGGCAAGTACATTATTAGAAATACTAGGCAGAGAAGCAGACAGTCATTGTCATCTCGAAATTCCTAGTGCACAGCAGTAAAGCAGATATTAAATTTGTGTTAGAAACAGGAGACTTGAAGTTGTGTAATGAACTTTGCCTGTATTTCAGGCTCAGGAGTCTTCCTGGTTTTAGGGTTTCATTATCCAGTTTATTATGAGCTCTTTAAAATGTACAGTTTCACATTATGAAAGAGTGGCTGCCGAGAGAGCCTAATGATTTTATAAATCATTTGAGGTTTTGCTGAAATTTTCCTAAAGATTTCATCACTTACGATACCAGTCCGTGACATTTTAAAGCCAAATAGTTCACCCTGGAGCAGAGTGAATATTGAAATAAGCACAATAATGTATTGTAGTGTGTGTAGACAACCTCCCCCTTGAGCCCCTCCACTGCCTGGGCAAAGACTAAGGTCAGTGAAATATGAACAATGGCTTTTTTATAGCAAGGCTTGTAAGGCTGAAAAAAAAAAACAACCCATACTTAAAAGCTCAGTCATAGAAGCTTGGTAGAAAAGGTGCTCAGAATTTTTGTCCCATTCAGGTAGAAGCATTTAAATGTGTGGTTGGAGTGGAAGTTTCAAGTTATTCTAAATTGGAGTCGAAGTGAAATAATTGGATATTTAAGATCTTGGACAGCTTGATTTGAAAAAGCTTATTCCATTCGACTGTGAACTTGAGATCACAACTACAGATGCATAAAATTCTTTCTGCTGTGCATGAGAGTCTGGAATAGGCATGGGCTGAAATGAAATGACCTGTGTAATATGTGTTATATATGGAGCTTTTGTTGAATAATTTGTGAAATAGTATGTGGAATTGTGTCTCAGTTTTCTTAGTAAAATTCTTTCACTGAAATTGTTTGCAGATTCTTTCAGTGAAATTGTTTGCAGTTAGCTTAATATTTAACCTTCTGAAAAAAAAATTCCAATTAACAGCTGTCATTATATAACTTTAGAATATATCTAAAAAAAAAAAAAGGTAAAATCTAAACCTTGCCTGTGTTTCTGCTACTATAAAAAAACTTACCAGAATCATAGAATGTCTGTCTTGGGTTGGAAGAGACCTTAAAGATCATCTGGTTCCAACCCCCTGCCATGGCCAGGGACACCTTCCACTAGACCAGGTGGCCTAAAGCTCTATCCAACCTGGCTTTGCACACTTCCAGGAATGGAGCATCCACAGCTTCTATGTGCAACCTGTTTCAGTGCCTCACCACCCTCACAGAAAAGAATTTCTTCCGTATATATAATAATTGCAGCTTCAATTTGGTAATAAGGTAATGTTAAATGTTGTGGTTTCCTACATAGTGTTCAAAATCGTTGTTTTATTTATTCCCCACTCCGCTGCAATGATTCAGGGGACACTGTAGGAATGGTTGAAGTTAGTATCTAAGCAGCAATAAGAAATGAACAACTAAGGAAAAAGATATTTTCCTTGTAGTACTTTTGCAAGTCTCAGAGAATTACCTGTATTAACTGTAGACTGGGTGTGTTCTTAAGAAAATGCAACTCTGTAAATTACAGGCTGCTTTAGTGTTAATTAACTGCACCAGTGCCAAAGGAATGGCAACAGCTACAGAGCAATTTTCATTCATAATAGGATTGCCTTTCTTAACCCTTTGCACTTTAAGGATGTACTGTCATGAGCTCAGCGTTTTGCATGATATGTTTTATTTTACTTGGTTGTTGTACAAATTTAGTTTTCCTGTAGCCTCCTCCTCCTTCCCCCCACCCCACCCCT